CTCCCATCATTAACAATTATGTATGTAATTGTCATGTATGTGCATGTATCTTAATAAGTGATTAAGATTAAGAGATCATTAATATGTACTAATATTGAAGCAAATTATAAAATTTTAACTTTATAATTACATTAAAGTGTGTGACCTTTGTAGTTTGGTGTTTTAATGAAACAGACTACTGCAAAGATTATACATTTTACATTTGTCTGAAAATTCCAATTTGTTCTAATCATAATTTTTGCTATTAATATATCTAGTGTTAAGTGATTACATATATTCAGTCTCTTTCTTTTGATGTAAAAAATATAAAAAACATTGAAAACTCTTGCTTTAAGTCAGAGAAGAAGGGAAAAAATTATTCGAACTTTGTTTTTGAGGTGCTTTGTACAAGTTATGGTTTGTGATTAGTGTTAACCACTGATTCACAGTATTGATCTTCATTATACCATATACTGAATAATTTTTATCTAACTCAGTATCATTTTTCATTTTTGTCCTTGTTTAAATTCTTATGATTTCATCTATTCGATGAATAATTTGCTATTTTGGGAGAGGTAAAAGACAACAGATAAATTATGAAGAAGGAGGAAATTTACATGAGAATAACCCTGATTCGATGTACTTATAATTAAAAAATAAATTTGTATAGATTAGTTCATTTGCAGGAGTCCATTTTCTAATGTAACTGACTTAACTTTATAAAGAACATAGACAAAAGCATTGGTATAATCAGTTTATGAAGTCTCTTGTCATAAAATTTAAATCAAGACAAAGGAAAATTGGATTTGTGTAAAATGGGAGGAACAGTCACTGACTTAACTTTATTAAAGAGTGTTATGAAATTTAAACTTAATATAAAGTGATCACCTTTCAAGAGATATAAACTGATCTGTATTTCACATCCAAAGATACATGCACACTCATCTCTCTCTTAATATTTGCATATCTTTGCTTTGAAAGGAATATATATATATATATATATATATATATATATATATATATACACACACACACACACCAAATTTTGATGAACACAGTAGTGCAGTTCTGAGACTACCAGGTAATTAATGTTGCAATCTCATAAACAAATTCTGAAGGAAATTTCAAAAGAGAGTTTACAAAAATTATTTGAGCAATAGCAACATAATTGGATCATATATATCGTCTCTGAAGGTGACTTGTTTGGAGGTACAATATCTGTTCTGGCTGCTTAAAATATATGAATCTCATTAGTTTCTAATTAGATCTGAAATATAGTTTGAAGGAATCTTGCACAGTTCATGGATATATTTTTATAATCAATGAAATTAGATTTTTTTTATAAGTAAACACACAATTCAACTAGAATAAATACAATGAGCTCTTGTAGTTACAGGAAGAGGTGTAAGGTGAAACTACCCTACTAACTCAGATGTCACAGAGCATGTTCCTGGATGCTAATGCTTCCTATCAGAACATTCAGGGCTGACAATGATTTGAAAACGGATGCTTCATATTCAATAAGGGGATGCAATACCACAAGAGAAATACAGAGGTGACATAATATACATCTCCTTACAGACCAACACATACTCAAAAGCAGTCATTAAGCACATGAAATTTAATTGTTCAAATAAAGACAATTAGGTATATTTGGAAAAATAAATAAAAACAAAATAATGTTTAAAAATATCCTATGTGGGGTCTTCCCTGGTGGGCCTGTTCTGTCTCTGATAGATCCTCTCACTACCCCTGAACCTCTGGCCTGTACCCCAGCTCTGTATGCATAAATAAATAAATCAATCTTTAAAAAATATATCCTATGCGGTTACATGGGGGTAGAATGAAGGAATCATTTATCTGTTTTGATGATAGCAGTTATGTATTTCTAAATACAAGGCAAGTCAAATATGCTCTATTGTAAACAGAAAAGCACATGCAGGGCCCTCCCTGGTAGCCCAGCGGGTTAAAGCACTGCACTAAGAAGCTTAAGCCACTTCTGCATGAGTTCCATCCCAGCCTGCCCTGGAGGTGATCCACATGGCGTGGCAGACTTCTCCTGACCCACCCGCTGCTCCCCTCAGCAGTGTACTTCATTGATCTGCCTGTTCTGCTTCCCACTCTGTCCCTGGTGAATCCTTTCACCCTCTGCATCTCTGGCCTGTACCCCAGTTCTGTATGAATAAATAAATAAATCTTAAAAAAAAAAGCACATGGAATTTTGTAATGTAAGTAAAATGCCAATACTGTGTTAATTTTAATTAAGTTGTCTTTTATATTTTTCATATTATACTATTTGAGGTAGCTGTTACTTTCTTAAAAATAGTTTTGAACAATGAGAATTAAATATAACTTTTGAATTATATTTAATCCAATTCAGTGTAATGATATGGTAAAAATCATCAACACATATTACATACATACATTTACATTTCATATAGCATTATTTATTAGGCCCCCTTACAGATAAACACGTTTATATAAAGCAACTACCTAGCTATCTAAATACTGTTATTTTAAATTTACCATTCAGACATTTACAATTAGTAAAAGGTGCTTGTGACTATTTGGCAGCAAATGAAACTCCCCTTTACCTTATTATTTTTTATGTTATTGAAATGTAACAGGCTTATTAGAAGAATAAAATTATACAAATTAAAACAAATCGGAAGAAATTATTCTCCAACAATACTGTGAATCTAATAAAGATATATGGAGACATTAATGTTGATTTCAGGTACAAATATGTGGCAAACAAAAGATTGTATTTCATTCATCATTTAAACAGATGGAGGAAAAAACTGTAAAGATAAATTAATGGCAAACTACAAAATGAATCTGAGCTTGGAAAAGATAATTTTGCATGAATTTCATTGATGGAAGGAGATGAGAAAAGTAGAAAATATTACACATTACACATAAAATTAACTTATAAATTTATTGTGCAAAACTAGTATCTTTTGCAATGGCACCACATTTCTTAGCAGATAACAAGGTGTGGGAATGTAAGAAACAAGGAGAGTAGGGAAGCAAAGGCTGCTGACAAGGATTGATAATCACACAAAGAGAAAAGTCAATTACAGTTCAGAAATACAGACTCACTCACTGGCAACCCTATAAACTCTAATGTATAACTCAGGGGGAAAAAAAAGGTAAAAAACTAGGCAAAGAAGACTTCTACAACACATGAAGTCAGGGTATTCGGATGCTCTAGAGTAAACTAAGCGATACAGACTAAAGTGGGAAACAAATGAGAGTGAATTCTTAGCACTAATTAGGCTATAAACTATATAATGATATTATAAAAATAAAACTTGGAGTGTTTATCTAACTTTATTTCAATTACCACGGCAATATTGTGACTTTCATACAGTATGGTATTCTTGGAGTTTATCAGTGATTATTTATAAGTTATCTATTTTTTGCTTAGTTGTTTTAAATCTTTTGACATTACTCTTTGAAAAAAAAAGAGACTTAACTCATTTATTTATGCATAAAAGAATGGGTGTGCAGGCCAGAGTTATGGGGGTTGAGAGGATTCACCAGAGAAAGAGTGGGGAGCAGAACAGGCAGATGTACTGAGATACACTGCCGAGGAGAGCAGCGGGCAAGACAGAAGAGGTCTGCTGCACCATGTGGGCCAGCTCCCTGGCTAGAATGGAACTTGTACTGCAGTGGCCGCTGGTAGCTTGACAGCACTGACATTTAATGCTTTGAACCACCAGGGAGGCCCCTGAACTTACTCTTTCAAGGAAATTTCTAAACAGTTTTGGAGAGAAGCAGAAATCAACTAAATCTTGATCCAACTGAAATATGGTAGTTCTACAAACATGAATTCTATTAACAAAGCTAAGTTCCTCTCTCATACTGAACCCCATTCTGTACATTGATGTCAGTACTCATTTTACTTTCTTGTCTCAGGCCCCGCTCCTTTCCCCATTTGGTCTGGCCAAATGGTCTCTTGTTCAGTCTCACACTCCCCCTTCTTAGGGACTGACCTGATTTGACCCCATAGTTGCTGGTTTACAAACTGGCATTTTATTGCTTGGTTTGTGATGCTGCCTCTCTTTTGCCCCAAAGTATGTGACCTGTAGGCCTCTTACTTTCTCTTTACCCAGTGAAGTGCCCTATAACTATGCAGAAAATGCCATGCTTTTCCTGCCATTCATATTCTTCATAGCACTTGTTTCAGACCCAGGTCTGTGCTTGGTGAATGTAGATTAGCTGGATGAGGAACAGAATAATCAGCAACATAACTTTTATAGTCAATTTTAATTAAGAAAATTACATTTAATGTGAATTATATATTTTATACAGTTGCCTATAATGGAGGTTCCTATTTCTGAAAGTATCACTTTCCTTAACTATTATTCTCTTTATTATTTTGTATTTTTCTCCTCACTTTCTTATCTCTTACCATTTTTCTCAATGTTTCAATTTTCTTGATTATTTAATGTTGCTGTGATATTTTGAGTTACTCTTTACTATGAGAGCTCACTTTTTTATTTTTAAAGATTTATTTATTTATTCATACAGAACTGGGGTACAAGCCAGAGATGCAGAGGGTGACAGGATTCACCAGAGAGAGAGTGGGGAGCAGAACAGGCAGATCAATGAAGTACACTGCTGAGGGGAGCAGCGGGGAGGTCAGAAGAGTTCTGCCACGCCATGTGGTCACCTCCGGGGCAGGCGGGGATCGAACTCAAGTGGAAGTGGCTTAAGCTTCTTAGTGCTGTGCTTTAACCTGCTGCGCCACCAAGGGGGGGCCGAGAGCTCACTTTTAATTTTTTCTCTTTATATTTAAAACTCATAACATCCTAAAAGACATCACATAGCCTAGAATAGTATAATGGGGACCAAGATAAATAAATAAATAAATAAATAAATAAATAAATAAATAAATAAAACAGCTAAACAAAACTGTGCCAGTTTTCTGATTGAAATTTGGAAAAAAAAAAAGAACTTCAAACAATTGAGTCTCCGTTATTAAGAACACTGAATTAAATAGAAATATTCTTTACCTGCTGAAGTTGGCTCTTCTTCATCTGATGCTATGATAAGAAAAAAAAAAAAAAGAGATAAAAGGGGGCAAAAAAGGGAGGGGATAAAAGGAGAAGGAGGGATAAATATAGGGAGAGGAAAAATGGGGGCAAGGGAGAGGGGGAGAGAAAGAAAGAAGTTTAGAATGAAATTGAACATAAATCTAGTTCACATATCCAAACAATAAAAACAAGCCTTAGATGTATAATTCTGTTTATAATTAGAAACCTGCCATTAAGTAGCTATATCTAGACTGATTTGTGAGTATTTACATTAAATTAAGGTATATAGACTCCTAAACTTTCAAAATATAGAAAGGTATAGTCAGTTGTCTAAATTTGATTTTCTTTCTGTTTGAAAAGAAGATTGATCTTATCAATGTAATTTGTAAATTGCTTCAAATACCATCAGCTGATATATAAATCACATATAAAGTATGAATAACTCGCCATCACTGCTTTATGGAAATTTTCTGCTAGCGAAGAGAATTAAAAGGCATTGTTGGTGGTCATAATTTTATTCAATAAGGTAGAAGTTATAAAAATAATAGGGAATATTCAGAATCACTCTGAATGTTGTTTAAACAAGATTATCCTAGCTCCCTCTCCTAACCACACACATGCACACAACTTAAGGGTCAGTGGTGGTGACTGGGATCAGGCCACAGGAAACTTCATTTTAAGGGCTGACACCAAATGGGATTTGACAGTGTTTTGAAGCCCACACAGGAAAAAGCACAGTCTGAAAGGAGAAGACTTAATGTGAAAACACATCAAACTTAAGCAGTGGTTCCTAATCCTGAATCTATATTAGAATGTCAACCACTCACCCCCACCTCAAACCAATGAAGTCCGACTCTTTCAATGGTTCTAACTTGTTGCCACTATTGAGACATTAATAGGTAACAACAATATATAACAAAGTGCCACCATTAAAGTATGAGTCATTTTGATTCCTGATTTTAAAAGGAGGGATTTTTGAGATTCTAAGGATAATATATTACTACCGTGTATGTATGTGGGGGTTGAAGTTTGGTGGTTCCAAGAGAAAAAGGAGTTTATCTGAAGTCAATTCACAAGTGAGCCTCAAATCTGCCTCTTCCCCTTACTATGAATAGACAACGTCTGTGAGCAGGTATTTCTGTCCTGTGCTCAAGTGCAGCTTGAATATCCAGAGTATCACTGTTGAATTATATGTCACAATCCGGTGCTATATTACTTGAATCCATGAAGTTTTAGATTAAAAAATTTACTCAGTAAATTGCTTATAAAGGTGCTTTATTCCCAGGTGATTTGGTAATCAAGGTATCACTGTGTAAGCAGGGAGCAGTTTCCACTCTTTTCCGTTAAGGTTACCCCTGCACAGAGTACACATTAGACAAGCTTACTTTGTGTCCTGACAGTATTTTCCTCTCACACTATTTGGCTTGTCTCCTTGGCATATAAAGAAATGGAGAGAGCAAACACAGTTGGCTTGCATGGAGTAGTGAACATAAATATTTAAAAAGCTGTTTGCTGCTTTATTATGTCCAAAATATATCATAACATGTTTAAAAGGAAAACTCGGCAGCTTCCAGGAATTCCTTTTCAGGAAAATACCATTGAGCTTTGTGAAGTACTGGTTTATATGAATTATTGTTGATAAAAGTTGCAAATTGAAAATGCAAAACAAACAAAAAAGCTAGCACTTACTGCTGGTCTTTTTAAATGTGTAAGCTCACTTTATATATATATATGAATTACTATTTTATAGATGAACACTGCCTAAGATCACTTTGAATGAGTTCATGTCAGTGTCTTTAAAACTAAACTCTTTCAACTCCACCTTACTCTCTTACCAGTTAGTAATTCAGTGTCACTTAAGTAAGGTCAGAGGGAGAATAAATTAAGGAGGGCTGGTTAGCACTCTTAGGAGTGGTTGTACTGAGAATAAGGAAACATAAAATCCCTTCAAAAAGTGCAGTCACCCCTTAGAAACCCTCAATTCAGGGATAGACAAAGCCACAAAAGCACATGGGTACACGGTTAAACAACGAATCCTAAGTATGTGAATGCTTAAGAAAGAAAGATAGGAAGTGTTAAGATGACAGTTCTCCTTTACAGACAGATGAACAAACAAAAAATGAGGCAACAACTAACAAGCAGGTAAGAAAAGACAATTCCCAATTTATAAGAGTTAAAACAATTAGAACATTTTAAAGCCAAAGCAGTTAGGGAAAATAGTACATAAACTTATACTTGAGCATCTTTGTAACAAACAGTATTGTAGTCAACACATGTACAACTCTGCATACGATTTTATTTCTATGCAACATTTCCTTAGTGGTGATTTTTTATAACATGTAGAGGCCACTAACCACTTTCCCTACATACTCGCACACGAGGGCATTATCACAAGGGTTAGTTTATATATGTGAACACATACCTATAAATTTAAAAGTACACAGACCAGACTGGATAGGGTCACTAATATGTGCGGTAAATACCAGGAAAGAAAACTAAGGTCGAATAAAGACAGGCTAAAAAATTAACCCTTTGGTAATGGACTATGGGTAACGCAGCTGTGGGTGTAATGGTGGGGATGTAACCGTGGTGATACTTGACGGGCAAAATCCTAATGTTACCTCAATTAAAAATCAAATGTTAGAACATTAAAAATGCATATTATGGCCCTCCCTGGTGGCGCAGCAGGTTAAAGCACAGTACTAAGAAGCTAAAGCCAGTTCGGCATGAGTTCAATCCCTGCCCCAAGGTGATCCACAAGGTGAGGCAGACCTCTTCTGACCAGTCTGCCGCACCCCTCAGCAGTGTACTTCGTGGATCTGTCTGTTCTGCTTCCCACTCTGTCTCTGGTGAATTCTCTAACTGCCCCTGAACCTCTGGCTTGTACCCAGTTCTGTAAATAAATAAATAAATCTTAAAAAAAAAATACATTATGGGCCAAACATAACAAAAAGAAGAAAACTAACAAATAACTTTGTCTTGATCTACAAGGTCACGATGTGCAAGAATATACTGAAATTATGGTGATGGTAGGAAAACTATGGTGATGTACAATAAAAAAGTACAGCTGATAAATTTAGCTAAGGATGGTCATTCCATTGCTCATAACATAATATTTTTGAAAATGTAACAGAAGGGAAAACATTCTCATTGATACGCTATTTTAAAATGACAAGAGAAATCATGAAGCTGAGGTTACCTGTTCACCTTACATGGACCTCAAACTATTATAATAGCCATATTACTGTTTCACAGAGCCTGATAGAAAGAAGCTGATACCAGCAAGCTGCTATTTTATGATTTCCTAATTTATTTATGCATGACAGACTACCTACTTCAACTCAATTCATTTCCATAAGTATGGACAAATGAGCTAATCTAAAATGGAAGTATGTTAAAACCAAAAGAACAAAAGCTAAATAGTAATGGATGTATCAGCAATATTGGCACAAATCTCAATGACAACACTCTCAATGACAACACCACAAAATCATGACACATAAAATGTTAATTCGAGAAGAAATTTTGTGATTAAGGGACTGACAGCACCACCATTGATATAATGGGTTAAATTTTATATTAGGAAGAAGTATATCTATTAAATCATTTAAATTATCAACAAAATATTTAACACAATCTGAATTTTGAAGAATTTCTTACAGATCAGAATGCATATACATATAAATAGTAAATAATGATAAAAATATTTCTAATAGATAATATAACACATTCTGTTTTAAAATTTGCTCCTTTCATTAAATACTGCATGCTCCAATGCTATCTCAATTAAAGAATAAATAAATTTAAAATTACATTACACATGTTTTCCATGGCAATACAGTGAGAGAATATATATATATATATATTTACTTAGCTATCAAATGATATTTAAATGATTCAATGCTTTTTCTCTTACAAATTATTTTTCAATAAATCATTAGATCCATTTGAATAATACTGAAAACAGGAGAAAAAACAAATGAACAGATTGGAGCCTATAATTCTAAACATTCTAAAAATATATTCACTTTTTGCAAATATGAATTTGAAATGATCCTCTTTTCTACACCAACAGCCTACCTCTACATTCTGCTTCTTAAATGTCTATTAATTACTATTACTTTTGTGACTTCTTCCTGTGAAATGACACTCTTTTATAATATAATTTCCATTAATGTAGATCAGCACAATTTTCATTGTCATATGTCCAGGTAACACAAGATGCAGTGATACAGAGCAGGCTGGGCTCTGGGTAGGTATACCCTTAGGCTCATAGCTGATCTCCAGCACACCTATTGCAGAGAGGTTTGGGATCCAAATCACATAAGAACTAAGCTTTTTTTTTTTTTTTTTAATACATGGTGATAAGTTAAAGAAAAAAATTTTGTTTTTATAAAATTTTCGCATGGGGTATGTGTGTGTGTGTGTATGTTTAATAAGGTTACAGTTATTTCAAGCATAACATTTTTGCCATTTAAAATTTTCAATAATTATTAGTTTAATATCATTTTTTCCTCACTAATACCTAAACAGAAATTCAGACAATTTATGATGCTTTGAAATAATGGGTTCTCAAAATATAGATGTTCACATTTAGCTTAATTAAAAAATCTTTTGAATCTGAAAGCATGAAGGTGAAAAAAACACAGAACAGTGGACAGGTATAACTTGAAGAGAGCAGAGATATCTCTAATGGTTCTATTTCTCTTTGGCAAAGAGGACTTATTTTTTTATGTTGCTTGAATTTATCCCAAGGACACTAACTCTAAGAGATAAAGCCCAGCTTCTGCTTGCCTCTACAGAGCTCAACTAATCTAGTGTGTCACTGACTTATTTAAAGGTGAGTTAATGGCCACTATGGAGGATTTTTTCCTCTGCCTAAAATTAAATGCTTTTCTTTTCAGAATCATCAGGATCTGCTTTAAAAGAAAATGGTCAGTATGTCCACATTCACCTATTAATCAAGTGACACTGACAATGCAATTCCCTATCCACAAAATGTGTCTCCC